TTTTAAACATTAAAAGTATAGAATATTTATGCTGTATATAACAATGGTTTAGTGTTGATTTTAAGAAAGTTCTCAACTTTTTTACTTTTCTTTTTGCTGGCTGAAAAAGCTGTAACGATGGGGGGTTTAAAAAGGGTTTAAAAAAAAAAAAAACAAGCAACAAAACATATACAGGTTAAGGGTTTCAAAAAAAAAATAAGTAACAAAACATATACAGCTTCGCTTTCGAATCCTCAATAAAATTTTGTGAAGAGGAAGAAAAAAAATAAATAAATAGTTTTCTCTGTTATCTTCGTTCACTTTTTTAGTTCATTTTTTTTTTTTCGTCTACATTTAGGTTTTTATTTCTCTAATTTAGTTTACTTCTAAATTTATGCTACAGCAGCAGCAGCAGCAGTAGCAGCAGTAGCAACAAAAACAACAGAAATTTGAAGTAAAATATTCGTCTAGAAGCAATACGAAAAAAAAGAAATATGATCGTCAGTAACGTCATCATCACTCTGATTCTTTGGGTATCCATTAGTGGGAGGGCAATAGGATAACAGACGTCATTGTTATTGTAATTTGTTAGATTACATTAAACCTGAAAAAAACATTTTCGGTTTTTTTTTTTGCTGTTACTTAACGCATTTTATAGGAACATTTTAACAATTATTGTTGTCTTTTTCAACAGTACACTTACTTACTTAGTGTTTTAGATAGGCAATAAAACAAAGAACAACAACAACAACAACAACAAAAAAAAAAACTTAAGAATATTAGTTATAAATGTCAATTTTACTGACAATTGAAAAGTAAGTGGGAATGATGGCGGAATAAGATAACTAAGGAACAAAAAGAGGTGATGTGAAAATGAAGCTGAGCCGTCAGTTAAAACTGAATAATGTTGAAGAAAGTTGAAAATGACGTAAATATTTACATAATGCTGTAGAAAAATGAAGCATTAGTTTTTCTTTTGTTTTCTTCTATTATTATTATTTGCTGTTTACTTTTTTATCAGTATTCAAAAAAAAAAAAAAA